GTGAAGTAAGCCAGAAAGAGGAAAAAAACACCACATGCTAAAGGAAAAAAAAGGACATTATGAACTCATCCACAAAACAGAAGCAGACTCACAGACACAGTCAACAATCCTGTGGTTACTGGGGAAAGGGGGTGGGAAGGGATAAATTTGGGAGTTTGAGATTTACACATCAAAGCCACTAGAAATAAAAACAGATAAAAGAAATTTCTGCTGGACAGCACGGTGAGCTATGTTCAGTATGTTGCAATAACCTTTAATGAAAAAAAACGCAAACAAACACATGTATGTACATGCATGGCTGGGACACTGTGCTGTGCACCAGGCACTGACACGTTGTAACTGATGGTACTTCAATGAAGAAAATTTTTTAATTAAAAAAAAAAAAACAAAAAAGTTATCAGACTCAGGTGGTTCTACTAGGAAATTTGATCAAATTTTTAAAGTATAGATTATTTCATTATAACTTACCTTGTTTTAGAACACAATAAAAACATCCTCTAAAAACTTTCACATAAATCAAACATGATACTGGCACCAAAACCCAGTGAGAATTGCCCCAAATAAGAGCACTGGCATAACCTCATTTATGAATATCAAGACAGAGCTGAAGCATTGTAAATACAGTGCAAAACGTGAAGAATCATACTAGGAATTTAAGAATGGTTCATCTGACAAAATTCAATATATATTTTGATTTAAAACTCTTAAAAATAGATGAAAACTTCTTGGAAAAAAATATAGAAAAAAATCAATCGAACCAAGAGCTGGTTTTTTGAACGAGTAAACAAAATTGACAAACACTGACAACTGCCCTTGCCCTGAAGATGCTCCCTTCCTCCAGAACCTGCAGGAACCTCTGCAGAGCGTTCCCGGGAGTCTACCTGTCCGCACTCTCATCCCTGCTCCAAAAGTGTGGTTCCTGCAGGCTCACGGACTCCAAGAGCCAACGGGAGGCTACCAGGGGGTCGGGCAGGGGTGGGGGTCAACACAGTGCCACGTATAAAACAGACACCACGAGGGCATACCGTGTAGCACGGGACACAGTGTTTTATAGTAACGATAAATGGAATATAACCTTTAAAAATTGTGAATCACTGTGTTGTGCACCTGAAACATACACTGTGGTAAAACAACTACACCGCAATAAAAACGTGTATATTTTAAAAAATATTTACACGGTTTCCACAATGACAGATTTCCATGCCTCCCTCTAGAAGAGAACTCCCTCCATGACCAGTTTTAGGCCATTACCTCCGAGATTAGCTACTAGAAGCTGTGGGACCAGAGTGTCACAGTGGGGAGGACGATGCTTCATGGGGTGTCAGTGGGAAGAGTGTCCCAGAAGCCAGCCCCACGAAGGGACATGGGAACGCTCCTGGTACGCTCATCTCTAGAGACGGGACAGAGAGGACCACGTCTGGACGCAAGGACAGAATGGTATGACATACAGGGATGACTCCAGGATTGAGAAAAGTCTGCCCAGTTGACAGTTACCAAAGGAGCTGGAAGGTGAAGTCAGGAAATCCCCCAGAGGGTGAAACAAAGAGGAAAGAAAACATAAACATATTGCAAAATCAACCCAGACAGCTTAACATAAGACTAAGAGGGCGTCAGAAAAACGGGGGAGAGGGGATGGTGGGGAAATCAGCACCACAGGGACCATCAAGTTCCCAGCACAGCGATGTTTTCTTGGATGTCTCAGCTTTATGAATGCTCACGTGTGTATATATTTATATTTCCTCCTCTTTACTGAGGTGAAGTTCACAAAAGTTAACCATTTTATTAAGTGTACAATTCAGTGGCTGTTGTGCACCCATCACCTTTATCCAGTTCCAAAGCATTCTCATCACCGCACTCTCATCACCTAAACATTCTCATCACCCAAAACATTCTCATCATCCGAAAAGTGTCATCACTCCAAAAGGAGATCCTGTGCCCATCCCCACCCTGCCACAACCCAGCTGCCCTCTGTCTGTGTGGACTCACCCAGCACAGGCACTGCGTTCACGTGGACTCATACTGTACGGGGCCTTTTGTGTCTGGCTTCTGTCACTCGGCATGATGTTTCAGAGATCCATGCATGCTGCACCAGGTGTCAGTACTTCATCCCTTTTCATGGCTGAGTAATAGTCCACCATGTGTGGAGACCACATTCTGTTTATCCATCACCACTTGAGAGACATGGGTCGTGTCCACCTGGCAGCTAGTGTGACAACTGCTGCTATCCTCATTCCACTACAAGTATTTACACACTTGTTTTGAAACTTTTGGTTACACAACTAAAAATGGAGTGGTTACACCACATTACATTACCACCAGCACGAATTCAGACTCCAGGCTCTCCACATTTTTGCCAGTGCTTGTTACCGTCTGTATGTTCTGTGGAGAAATGTCTGTTCAGATCCTTCGGCCATTTATCGATGGGCGTGTCTCTGCTGCGGAGCCTTGTGAGTTCTCACACATTCTGGACAGCTGACCCTTATCAGATGCGTGGTCTGCAGTTTTTCTCCCATTCTGTAGGCTGTCTTTTCACTTTCTGGAAATTGATGACATCCTTTGATGCATGAAAGGTTTTAATTTGAATGCAGTCAAGTGCATCTGGTTTTTCTTTCGTTGCTCACGCTTTCGTTGTCATGAGGATCCACTGCCAAATCCAAAGTCATGAATATTTATCCCTCTGTTTTCTAAGTTTTACAGTTTTCACTCCCACAGTTAAGCCTTGGTCCCTCACGTTGGTTCTGTACGTGCTGCGAGCAGTAGTGTAACTTCACCTTCCTGCGTGTTGGTCTCCACTTGGGCCAGCACCCGTTTTGAAGGCTGTTCTCCCCCCCAGTGAATCATGCTGCACCCTGTTCAGGACCAGCTGGCCACAGATACACGGGCTTACTTCTGGACCGTCAGTTCTGTTCTGCTGGTCGGTATGTCTGTCTGTATGCCAGTCCCACAATGCTCTGATCACTGCGGCTTTGTAAGAAGTTTTGAAATGGGGGAGTGGATTTCAGTCAAGATGGCAGCGTAGTGGGACCAGGAGCTCACCTCTCCTCGCCACTACAACAAAACCATCACTGACTGCTAAACAACCATCAAAAAAAAGACAACTGGAACGTAGCAAGAAAGATCTTTCTCAACTGGAAACACAAAGAGGGAACCACAGCGGGATGGTAGGAGGGATGTATTCACAGCATAATAGGGCCCCACACCCCCGGGGGGGCGACCCACAAGCTGAAGAATTTGTCACAGAGGCCCTCCCACGGGACAGACTTCTGAGCCCCACGTCAGGCTCCCCAGCCTGGGGACCCGGCATTGGAAGGAGGAGGAGACCCCAGGACATCTGGTTTTGAAGGCCAGCGGGGTTTACCTCCAGGAGCCCCACAGGACTGGGGTAAACAGAGACTTCATTCTCTTGGGACGCAAGCACGGAGTCTTGCGTGCACCAGGTCCAAGGGCAGAGGCAGACCTGCCTGCTGGTTCTGGAAGTTCTCGTGGGGACATATGGGGTGGCTGCGGCTCATTCAGCAGACAAAAAAAGCTGGTGGGAGACATTCTGGGAGTGTTCATCTACCTGCGCTTTCCTGGAGGCTGCCTGGATCATTAGCACCAAGACCCAGCCCCACCCAACAGCCTGTAGGGAAGCCTCAGGCCGAACAACATACAGCGTGGGGACACAGCCCCACCCATCGGCAGACTTCCTGAGCCACAAATGACAGGCCCTACGCACCAGAGGTCCAGGACCAAGCTCCACCCAGCAGCGGGCAGGCACTGGCTCCTCCTGCCAGGAAACCTGCCTAAGCCTCTACTCTAGCCTCATCCACCAGGGGCAGGTACCAGAAACAAGAAAACAATCCCAAAGCCTGTGGAAGGAATCCACACACAGGCCAGACTCTACACTGGGACTAGCTGGACCCTGGCCCTTGGGTGACAAGAGAGGAGTGCACTGCTGGGACGCACAGGACGTCTCCAACAGAGGGCCACCTCTCCAAGGTCAAGAAACATAACCAACCTAAAAATACAAACACAACGACAGACAACATGAAGCAGCAGAGCACTCTCCCAGGCCAAGGCACAAGATAAAATCCCAGAAGAAACAAGTGATGAGCCAGGCAATTTATCTGAGGGTTTAGAGTAATTTTGGCGAAGATGTTCAGAGAACTCAAGAGTACAGGTGCACAGAGCAAAGCTTTTAGCAAAGAGTTGGAAAATATAAAGAAAACCCAGAGTTGCAGAATAAAATCACTGAAATGAGTAACACTAGAAGGAACCAAGAATAGACTAACTGAGGCAGAAGAGTGGATCAGTGAGCTAGAAGACATAGTGGAAATCACTGGAGAACAGAAAAAAAGCCAGCCACCACATGGTGGCTCTGTCTTTAGGTATTTGAGAAGCCTCCATTCTGTTTTCCACAGTGGCTGCACCGATCTGCATTCCCACCAACTGTGTACAACCAAGGTTCCCTTTTCCCCACATCCTTGCCAGCATCTGTTATTTGTATTCTTTTCCGCGATGGCCATCCTGACAGCCGTGAGATGGTGTCTCGCTGTGATTCTGATGTGCATTTCCCTGATACTAGTGATGCTGAGCAACTTTCCACATCCCTGTTGGCCACCTGCACTTCCTCTTTTGGAAAAGCGTCTGTTCAGTTCTTCTGTCCACATTTTAAGTGGGTTGCTTGGTGGTTTGCTTTTTAGCTGAAGCACAGCTGACTTACAACGTTGTCTTAGTTTCTGGGGCACGGCAAGGATGGACCTGGAGGGCGTTACGCTGAGTGAGATAGGTCAGCGAAAGACAAACACTGTAAGACATCACGCATACATGGAATCTAAAAAAGTACAACTAACCAGTGAATATAACCGAAAAGAAACAGACTTACAGATGCAGAGAAGGAAGGAGTGGTTCCCAGCAGGGAGACAGAAAGGGGAGGGGCAAGATGGAGGGGGAGGAGGAAGAGGTGCAAGCTCTCGGGTATAAAGTAAGCTACAAGGATGTATGCCAGCATGGGGAACGCAGCCAGTATTTTATAACAACTATAAATGGAATGTAAACGTGTAAAAATTCATGAATCACTACATTATACACCTGTAACATGTAATATATACCAACTATACTTCAATTTTAAAAATATGATATTGTAAAATAAATGGTTTTAAAAAATGGAAAAAATGTTTTGAAATGGAAGTGTGAGCCCTCTCACTTTTTTCTTCTATTTCAATATTGTTTTGGTTATTCAGGGTCCCTATAATTCCATATGAATTTGAGGACTGGGTTTTCCATTTCCGAAAAAAAAAAAAAAAGTTGTAGGAATTTTGACAGGGACTGCATTGACCCTGTACAAGGTTTCGGGTAATACCTTAACAATATGAAGGCTTCCACTCTATGAGCAAGGGATGTCTTTCCATTCATTTAAATCTCCTTTCATTCTTTCAGTATGTTTTGTAATTTTCAGTGTACAAGTTCTCCATTGTCTTGATTTATTTCTATGTGTTTTATTCTTTTTAATTGAAGGCTACTTGGTTTACACTGCGGTCAGTTTCTGGTGCAACGCACAGGGGTTCAGTCAGACACACACATTCTCTTCCACACGGTTTCTGACTGAATGTAGTTCCCTGTGCTGTACAGCAGGACCTTGCTGGTTACCTGTTTTGTGTACAGTAGTTTGTATCTATGTGTTTCATTCTTCTGAATGCAGTTATAAACTGGATGTTTAATCTCCTTCTCAGATCGTCCATGGCTACTTAGGAGACACACGAGTATCCACGTGTTGGTCCTGCACCCCGTGTTTGCCGACTCCCCTCAGCCTTCTTGTGGGGCTTCTGAGATCGTCCACACACAGGACGTCTTCCATGAAAAAGGCAGGAGTTTTACTTCCCTTCCAGTTTGGATGCCTGTTTCTTTTCCTTTGTCCAGCCGATCTGGCCAGAACGCCCAGTCCAATGTTGGACAGCAGTGGTGACAGGTGACAGTGGGCATCCTCATCTTGTTCTTGATCTTAGAGGAATGTCAGCCTCCACCGCTGAATAGGGTGTAAGCTGGGGGCTCTCCTAACTGCCCTTCATCACAGGGGGAAGTTCCCTTCCACTGCTCCTAGGATATTTCTAGAATTTCTCTTTCTACCCCCCAAAGAGTGTTTTATCAGACTCACCGCACCCCAGACGTGCAGCACACACCACTCACAACACACCCCCTCCACACAAACCACACACAGCGCGCACACCACCCAACACGTGCACAAGCAGGGCGCTCAGCAGGCAGGCGCTCTGCCTGTCACCCTAGTGGTGCCTCCGAAGAAGAAGGTGGCGACCTTGGGTTCAAGGTGAAGGCCTCTGGCAAAACTGGGCTCCAGCGGCTCAAGGAAAATCAGCAAGCAGTTCTTGAAGAGGGCTGACCCCGGAGGCCAAGTGTGCACACGTGCTGCGGACAGACAGACAGCGGGAGGAGGTGAAGGCAGGGGTATCCGCGTTCCCTGAACGAACGGAAGGAGCAGGACCCTCTGACCTTCTCAGGCGGCGGGGAGTCCGCGCTCACACTCCGGCCACTCGGCCTGGGAACCAGGGGCGTCCGTGAAGCTCGGGGAGAAGCCTTCCCGCTGCAGACCAGGCGGACACTCCGGACCGACGCCGAGTGACCAGCTCCCCGCGTCGGGCCAGCCCTTCACAGCGTCCGCTCCTACTCGTCAGTCTCTCCGAGGCCCGGGCCCCGCGCGCCCCGCGCTGCGGACGCTCAGCTGCCTCACCTGCCGGACGAGACGGCGCAGGGCCCGGGAGCCTCCGAGCGCAAGTCCTGCCCGCCAACCGGCCGGTGA